TTAAGGTCCTGATCTGAATATGTATACTGCTTGTGTAAAATCCGGAAACAATGCGTGATGGAAGGTTCCATTGTAGAGCTGGGACTGTAAGGTTACATTGAAATATTTTACATTTAAATTAAACATTATACATCTAAATGTCTCTTCTCTCTCTCTCTCTCTCTCTCTCTCTCTCTCTCTCTCTCTCTCTCTCTCTCTCTCTCTCTCTCTCTCTCTCTCTCTCTCTCTCTCTCTCTCTCTCTCTCTCTCTCTCGACTTGCCGTAATGGTGAAAACAAACATTTTGTGTCCCCCGACAAAACACTGGAATACATACAAACGTAAAAACCATATACACTCACAGACAGACACATAGACATGCATGTACACATACACACACACACACACACACACACACACACACACACACACACACACACACACACACACACACTGACACACACACACACACACACATACATACATACATACATACATACATACATATACACACACACATACATACATACATACAGACACACACATATACACACATACATACACATACATACATACACACACATACACACATACATACATGCATACAGACACACACACATACATACATACATACATACATACATACACACATATACATACATACATACACACACACATACATACACACACACATACATACATACATACATACATACATACATACATACATACATACATACATACATACATACATACATACATACATACATACATACATACATTCACACAATTACGTTGATCGCTGGATCATCTGGTCCAAATTGACTATTAACAGACCGCCACCATATAGCTGGAATATCGCTGAATGCGGTGTTGACCAACAAACATGTACAAACAAAACCAAATTGACTACATTAATGCCCGTTTTCACTGGATTATTTGGTCGTTATTCCATTAATACCTGACGTCGTCATATGGCTTGAACATGGCTGGGCGAGATGTTATGTAACGTTCAAACCTTGCCTATAAACGGCGACCCGTGGAATCATGTCACTACTTGAACCGACGTGTATGCGCTGCGGGCGGTAACAGTATTGTAATCTAGCACGTGTATCAATATACCACATCTAATTGGATTTATGGATTGATATGGTCACCAATATGGATTACGGAAGTTATGCTCCAATTTACTAACATACCCTGGCAAGGTTGTAAAGATTAAACAGTAGCACAATCCTTGCTTGTTTACCTATGTCCAACAACGCCAATTGTGTTGCTTCGTTGCATGGGGTATAATCAGAACAATACTATTACTATGACGTGCGAAGTCTAATCAAGAGCGAGGCATTTTGGCAGCATGGAGTCTTACATGTAATTTAAAAGTAAGATTATTGTGTGTTCTTGTGGAATTGGGGCTGTGGAGTAGCCTAATGGTTAAAGCGTTTGCTCGTCACGCTGTACATCCGGGTTCGATTACCCACATGGGTAAAATGTATGAAGCCCATTTCTGGCGTCTCGCTGCCTTGATATTACCTTACTCAATCACTCTTATTTGATCTTCCCGAGAAGTATAAAACCAACATTGGTTATCTTATGAAAAACAGACTCGTGAAGATCCGGGCTGGAATTGATCTTCAGTAATCCATGCTTGTCGTAAGAGGCGACTAACGGGATTGTGTGGTCAGACTCGTTAACTTAGTTGACACATGTCATCAGTTCCCAATTGCGTAGATCGATGCTCATGCTGTTGATCACTGGATTGTCTGGTACAGGCTCGAATATTTACAGACCGCAACCATATAGCAGGAATATTGCTGAGTGCGGCGTAAAACTAAACTTACTCACATAATCCTTGAACATAATGTCACGTATGACACCTTTACTTTCAAGATTGTGTTTTAAATCAATAATTCACATTCGAAAGAAAGACAAAATAATTGCCAAGTTGTTTTTGTCAGATGCGTGATTGCAGTTTTTGTTATGTATTTGTATTTGTATATTTGTAACTGTTTACAATATCACCAGCAATGGGCATTTGAATATTCTTCAGCATTCTTCTCTAAATGCTTGTTCCATAACGCTGCTGATCGCAGAAATGTTCTCTGAGTCATAGATACGATTCTAGATCATTCAGGCGATGAGGCAATCGTGCCAGACTGAGTACTTCTGACAGTTGATGGGTGCTTCATTTAGTGATTTGTGATTTCTACATTCAGTGTTAACCTGGTTAGACCCGAAGCTTATGGAACACGCTCTACGAAAACCGATAACCCTTAAATGGCCATGAAAACCATCCTCATCACAAATTCAACACAAGCCTGATAGCTTCTCCGAAAACGTCCAGCACAGAGAACACACCAGGAACTGATTCAGAAGGCAAATTGGTTTGTTTGGAGACCGGCGACTTTCCTCGCCCAGTGTTTGTGTAGGACATACTATGCAGTTTAACTCCAGTTCTCGCTGACCCAATCTGACCTTACTGGAGGTTTGTTTAAAGGTGAAATGGCAAAGGAATGGCTCAGGGAAAATCTTAATCAACATGTTATGTTGTTAATAGGTGTTCATTTACCGCCATTAAATGTTGTTTTTTGGTAAATATTGATAGCTTCTATACAATCGTAATTCTAACTCTAATTACACAATACGCTACCTATAAAATGTAAAAGATGGTGTTGCAAAACATGAGCAATTAGAATTCGCGATATCTTTAGCTTGTCTCCGAAACAACATCATGGACGTGGACTGCAGTAACAGACCCCCACTGTACAGAAGTCACGAACTTTATCATACCATATCTAACGCCTACGACTGTGTATATGTTGCCGTGGATACACCCGCGTGACGTCACAATCAACATATGGACGCTACGTAGACAGAAATACCTCAGCAGGGGTCACTCGGTACGCGGTAGGCGAAAATAAATTAAGAAGTTAGGTGTGTAATTTGCGGGTACAGTTCTCATGTCAAGTATCACTCCACTGCCTCTGCTTACCCACACCCTTTTGTTAACAGACAGGAGGAACCCTTTCAATGTCAAACATACACTTCAGTCTAGCGTCACTTTAATATCATTATACTCATATACAAATATTTGCAACATGTTCAACATATATAACGCATTAGTCTTTACGTGTACATTCATCCCTCCAGTTTATCACAAATTTCATTCTGGACATATGCAATCATTGAGAGTAGAGTGGATATTTCGTTAAAGGGGCAAGGTTTACACATCCATACGTTTAGCTACGTTGTAGGGCATGCAAGGTTATGTTCTGACACCCACTATTTTCATAGCAATGCATATTTAATTCCTGTGGTTGTTGATAATGTCAAAAACTGGGAGGATCTGTGTAGAGAACACAACACGGTATGCTAAATAATGCGCGCGCCTAAGTTCCAATCCCATTTCCCTGTTTTGTTCGCCACGTTAAAGGAAACGATTTAATGTCATTCGTATGTGGGAAGAAACATTCACTTCTTTACAACTTTTTTTAATTTTAAAACTTTAAAAAAAAAAAAGGACGAATCTGAAAAGAAAAGGAACTGGTTTCATGATATTCTGACTGTTGTGGCCTCCCACCTGTATGCTGTGTTATTAAGTGCAAATAGCTGCGTGAGTGAGTGAATTTAGTTTTACGCCGTTTTTGGTAATTTTCCACCTATAATACGGCGGGGGAAACCAGAAATGGCCTTCACACATTGTACCCATGTTGGGAATCGAACCCAGGTCTTCGGCGTGACGAGCCAACGCTTTAACCACTAGGCTACCCCACCGCCCCGTTATCGTAGCAGCTGCGTGGGGAGACTACATTTGTAACACAGTTTACTACCTTTTTATAACGAACACGATTACAACACAATGGCGGATATACAGTGCTGTTTTTGGTCTATATTATATCTCATAAAAGTCGAAAGGCGTATAACAAACTACGGTTATTACAAACCGTAGTTTACAATAATTATATTTGTTACGATTGAAAAAGGATGGCTAATTCCACAAAAGAGATGTTAACATTACCTAAAAGCTAAATAGTTAAAAATCAAGTAATTTGATAACCCCCATTCGTGTAGTATATACTGCACATGAATGAAAAATTGGAAAGGGGATGCCCTTAAAACAAAGAGAAGAGCGAATGGCATTGTGTATAGGGACAGTTTTTATTACGGAAATGGTGTTTTGACGTCGGTTTCAGAACGGAAACACAATTCATTGAACAATGTGTACAGTATCATAGCCAAGAAACCTCACCTTTTACACATAATAGAAAATCGGCATTAACTTACAAAATTGCTAAGTCATTTTACATGTGTCATGGAATGAAAAACGTGCATATAGCTTACCCCTTGTGGAAGAAATAATTGCAAGTTAATGGCGATATGTCTTCCTGGCTGGAACGCGGTGGTTGCTGGGGGCGCACTATAATTTATGTCTGTGACGTCACTGTAGCTGGGGATCTCCCTTCGTTTTGAAGGCTGTGCATGCTGAACAAACTAAGCTCGCCATGGACACTGGATTCAACAGTCAGCATAAATATATGCTCATCTAAAAAAAAGTTAAGGACCACCCGAATTTTCAATATTAAAGTATTTAACAGTCCATATCATGATCCATATGATACTTAAATACTGAATATTGGGGTGGTCCTTAAATTTTGTTGTTGAGTATATGAAACATTTGAACATAATCATAAACATTGTTCTCTTCTAGCTTGACATTTTAGTCAATAAAAAGGAACTGTGTACATGTATGTTTATAACCGTGAAATATTGCACTTTATAACACTGGGACAGTTTAAAGGGATGTTTAATAGTTATTCTATTTTCCTTTCCGGTTTCCATTCTGAGACCTGATCTGCATCCGCAGAGTAGGGATAACTTGCGGAATCATATTATCTGGGCGCGCATACATTTCCGGATTTATGTTCTACTCATGTTTCTTATACTTAGAAAGTATATGACTTAGTGATCCCATTGGTCATCGCGACAGCGGCCACGTCCTGGGGCTACAAATCATACAACACATCCCCAGGCATACAGCAATCCACCATATTCCCATGTGTGATGATGGCTGTCGCTAGTCATGGACGGTTTCGTACTTGCTATTTCAACTTTGAAACGGATGATATATATTATTATTATGGTTCAAGGATATATAGGTAAGTCCTTATTTATGCGTACACACCCTCATTTTGTATACTTGTATTCTACTATGCATGTATTGTACACGTACTTCATAGTCCCAAAACATTCAAAGTAAATTTCAACTCTCCGTTTTTTAATCGTAGAATATGTGTAATTTTAATGTATGGCTAGGTATATCTCAATTGCTAACAGCTGAGGGGATGATGTAAATCCAGCTGGGGTCTATGCAGGAAGCAAATGTACTGTAAGTCCCTATGGTCCCTAGTATGGTGATCTACCTTCAGTTGTTAGCGATCTATAGCCCATTTTTATATTGTGTTGTCCCCTATAGTTAAAATGGTTTAGATTCAGTTACTAGTTTTACATATATATCTGTGATATTCTGGTTGTTTTGCTGTCCTTCGTCGGCAGGTTTTTTTATAATATACATGTATTTCATTTCAATATCAAATGTTCTCGTCACGATATGGCTGAAATATTGCCGATGTGACGTTAAATATTAACTCACTCACTCACTCATATTGTATTGAGCTCTGTGTGCGTGAGTATGGGTGCGTGCGTGAGTATGTGCGTTTGCCTGTGTGTGCGTGTGTATATGCGTATGCGTGGTATATATACCTTGAATACCATGCATTATGTACTGTTGGAATATAATGTGCATATACATGTATATCTCAAAAAAACTTAATTCAACTTTGTTCTCTTCCTCGCTTGTACTGTTGCGGATATAATATTCTAAGCTGCCCACACGTAGATGATGCTTTTCCCAATGTCCCGGCTTATAGTGAAGCTGTATGAAGCTATTTCCACAACAGAGGACCATGCTCTGCATGTCAATAAGCCTGTTCGTGACAGATACACGCCAGTATGTACACACGTGATGATTATCGTCGCGATTGGTGCGTGGTCCTCCATCCTGTATTGCCTGATGAGTAAAACACCTGTAAACATGATCAGTAAACATGATCAGTAAACATATACAGAAACGTGTGATGAAACTGTCTGTACTTTAGTACAGGTGTTCCTGTTGTTGCTGTTATAACAGTGTGTACTTTAGTACTGGTGTTCCTGTTGTTGCTGTTATAACAGTGTGTACTTTAGTACAGATGTTCCTGTTGTTACTGTTATAACAGTGGTACTTTAGTACAGGTGTTCCTGTTGTTGCTGTTATAACAGTGGGTACTTTAGTGCAGATGTTCCTGTTGTTACTGTTATAACAGTGGTATTTTAGTACAGGTGTTCCTGCTGTTGCTGTTATAACAGTGTGTACTTTAGTACAGATGTTCCTGTTGTTACTGTTATAACAGTGGGTACTTTAGTACAGGTGTTCCTGTTGTTGCTGTTATAACAGTGGGTACTTTAGTACAGGTGTTCCTGTTGTTGCTGTTATAACAGTGGGTATAGATTAGGACTAGACTGTGGGTTTGGGCGGTTGTTGTGTTTTCATATATTAATTAAATACATGTAACTTGGTCGAAATGGTGTGAATATAACTTCATTACGCAGTGTTATACCACAGTGGAACGGTTTCTTGTGGGAAGATATTCCGAAGTACTAAAGTTGTCACCCATCTTATCCAGTACAACTATGCTGCAGGCTGTGACACTCTCTCCACAGTCAGGTTTAAAGCATTAAGAATAAGATACTGTAACTCATGATAAGTGATCTTTTATCAAACAAAACACACACAGACACATATATAGACAGACAGACGCACGCACGTACACACGGACGCATGCACACACACACGTGTGGGGCTGTGGGATAACCTGATGGTTACAGTGGTCAAAGACTCGACTTGCTATCATGATGAAAATGTGTGAAGCCCATTTCTGGTGTCACCCGCCCAAACATCCCTAGAATATGCTAAAAGCGGCGTAAAACCATACTCACTCACAGACAGACACATACACATGCATGCACCCAAGCGCAGACACATACATACACTCATGTAAGAAAAACAATATACGATAGAAATGAATTATATCTAAATAGTACCACCTTTTCTCTCAAACAGTTCCTCGTCCCAGAACGTTGAAGTCGATTTCTATGATTTGCATATCTGCATTCATATCTCAGATGTAACATAACGGGACTTACCAAGGCAATTAACTTAAAAGACAGTTTCATAGAACTATCGATCCTTTTTAACCCCACATACTTTTCATAGTTGGTTAGCGTCATATTGCATCACCTACCCACATCATACACAAAAAAACTTCCGCAATATGACACTGCTGAAATCAAATCGATACCCCGCCTTCCATCCCCCCTACACACTATTTCCTATATTCAGAAACCAATAGAACCTCTGATCCCTTGGCGCTCTTCTAAATGCTCATTCGCTGATTGTAAATTTCATGGATTAAGGCTTTTTGCCCTGAACGAGCCCAACCCACATATGAGTCAGGATATATGTTGTATAAAGGGAAGATGCGACTACTTGGCCACTATAAACATCCCTGTGTTGTACACGTGTGTGTGTGGAGGACGATGATAGCATAGAGGTAGGTCGGCGCTTGTGTCATTGTAATCTCTAGACGTGTGTGCATGTTTGTGTGTATGTATCATGTTATTGTTTACCATATGTCTTCATGCCTCGATCGGCGGGTGGCTTAATAGTTAAAGTGTTAGCTCGTCAAACTCGAGAATAAGGTTCTATTCCCTATAAGCATATGGTATTCTTGAGGCTTCATGTTGACGTGCCCATGCGCAATATGGGGGCGGTGGGGTAACCTACTGGTTAAAGTGTTCGTTCTTCACACCGAATACCCGGGTTCGATTCTCGACATGGGTACAATGTGTGAAGCTCATTTATGGTGTCCCCTGCCCCGATTTTGCTGGATTATTGCTAATAGCGGTGTAAAATTAAACTCACTCACTGATATTTCTGGCTCATCTCGCTTCAACGTCTACTTTCACCCACTTACACACTAATATGCTAGTCGATAATACCTTAAAATCACTTTTCAACATCGGCGCTGTAACATTTTAAACAACGATGCAGTGGTAGTAATTTGTTGTCATTTCCGTGTTATATCACACTAGTCGTGTATCGACAAGTTTACACATGTTTTCGTAAATGCATCCTTGTTATAACTACCAATTAGCAATAAACTATGTGTAACAATTAAGATTATTGTATCTAGAAAATCTAATGACATGTTATAATGTGAGCGATGTATGGAATGTGCATACATTTAAAGATATATTGCAACAAGAAAGAAACGTCAAAAGCTCACTCACTCACTCACTCACTCACTCACTCACTCACTCACTCACTCTTCTGTCTAAAACCACCGATGTTTCAATCCCAAAACTCATGTGACTACATGTCCAGAACGGCTCATATTTACCAGTACACGTTGAATAGACCGGAAGTTGGCCCACAAAGACCGGGTTACCGAAGCCACCTTGGAAATATGTGCACACAACACGGCATAGCGAAAGCCTATCCAACTCCGACTATCATATGTACTAGGTTCCGTTTGGTGTAAAGGGCGAAATAGCTGTGGAATTTATATGAATGGACCAAAGAAGATTTTTTTGATGACTTGAAAATGTTCAAATGATAATTGCTTTATGTCTGATACATTTAATGCATACCGATGGCCTCTCGGGGGATTTTGTGTGAAACCTAAGAAAACAGACCGGATCTTGCTTCACAAAACTTAAAGCTTTTTGTGGCCTTTAATACGTAACACATACCAGTGGCTTTATACATGGATACATCTGACTGACGCCCCTGCTGTCTAGTATAATTTTAATAGTTCAACACACAAAGGCCCGGGGCATTGAATACGTCTGAAATAGAAACCTAAACGGTTGTCATTTTTTTTTGGACCGGAAAATCCGCAAAAATTACTTCACACACATTCCTTTCTCCCACCAACGGAATGTTTGGATTAAAGCAGCTCGGGGTTTATGTGTGATATTTTGAATGTATTCGTTCAGACAACTACGTTTACATGCTGTTACACTATATAAAAGGATATAGTACTAGGGTAGGGTCTATATACCTATATGTCTGTCTAACGCTGTTTCTAAGCGTGACACGCCCCTGTGGTTACACGAGTATGAGTATTTAGCTGCGGAGAAAATGTACTGACTTAAAATCACTGGATTGTCTGGTACGGATTCGAAACTTTACATCCAGCCGTCGTATGGCAGGCGTATTTCTGTGCAGCCTCTGGCGGGAAGGGGGGGGAGGTCCATCCATTGATCCATCTATATTCATATGAATGTCACCACACCCATGTCTGTAACCCCTAATGGAATCTGATTCAACAGATACCAGACCATGATGTTTATAGCCACACGTATTATCCACTGCAACACATGGGGTAGGACTTATTTTCATTGTATAGAAAAGGTACAAACTACATTTTTAAAACAATTTCTAAATCTAGGTAAATTTGCTTCTAATAAGGCTACATACGGAGAAACTGGTAGATGCATTATGTTTGTGTTCAGCAGAATAAGAGCAGTTAAATATTGGTTAAAGTTGGTAAAAATGCATTACTTAAGGTACCCAAAACAGTGTTATCTTTTTTGAAATCACAAGATGATATTGGTAAAGTTAACTGCGTGTCTAATGTTAGGCTATTACTCTTTTCTACTGGATTTTCCAATGTATGGCTTGCCCAATGGGTTGGCAATGAAGACTGTTTTATATCTCTTTTTAAACAGCGCCTATGTGATATTTTCATTCAAGAGTGGTCTATGTCCATTAGTACTTCTAGATATTTAGAATATTATGCCTCTCATAAGTCGTTGCTAGAACCAGAATCGTATATCTTTAATTTTCATGATAAATCTTTGATAAGAGCTTTATGTAAATTAAGAATTGGTTTTCATGATTTCTGTCTAAATAGGGCACGTAAACATGGTATTTCTACAGAGTGTAAAAATGATTTGATCTGTTCTAATCAGTTCCATGTCATGTTTGTATGCATGCACCAAGTATCTAAGTTTGCGAAAAAAGTATATGCCATTTCTTTCAAACACTGTATTA